AAAATTTGAAACCTTCATAACCAACCTATCCAAAGCGACACTAACAAACCACCCGATCCGACTACCCACCGCTACTTATAAGTGAGACCTGAGCAGCAAAATAGCCTGCAATGACTGGGATGCTAATATATTTTCGTATGATGTAATAGTAGGCAAACCTATAAGTGAGGCTAATATTGGTCATGTTCTTATGTCCGCTCATAATCCAATTCTCGGACATAAACAGGCTAGATTTGTTACATATGCTCCAACCAGGAGTTATTGCAAGTCACCAGACACGAAGTGTCACAGAATGTGAAATTACTATCATCGTTTAACACTTTTCACACACCTAGACATTTCCGTCCGATAGCTATCAGCCGTCAAGCTATATTGTAACGACAAGCAGCCATCTTAGGTAAAGATTGAATCCTATATTGGCTTCTTTTCCCGATTTTCACTAACGGTTACAAAAGTGTGAGCTGTAATGACCCGGTAGCAATATTTTTCTGCAGTATTTTACAGGACGCTTAATCAGTCGATATTCAGTTTCATATTCTAATGCCAGATTCAAGTGTCGTATATACTTACAGAGTTTGCATTTTGTAGGGATTCTTTCGTTTCGTCCCATTGAGAAACAGCCCAGATGGAATTTCCTCCAACTTACAGTTAGAAAAAACCCTGCATTGCGAACAAAGATTATAAAATGTTAAACGACGCCAATCGCTCCAACGCTTAAACGAGGGAGTTTGGATGACATTAGTGTGAATGCTTACACAACATAGGGATTCCGTGTCCTCCCAAAGGTGTGTGACCTTAAAACCTTCAAGTTAGTTTGTTCCATCCTCCTAATTGAACAAATTAAACAAAAAAAATTGATAAATCAATTGCAGTTTAGAACCAAAGTAATGTCTCGTGTATTCGTATAACCATATATGAACGTTTCTATTCCTCAGCAAATTGAATTTACTTTCAAATTCCTAAATAATGGTTGTCAGTTCATTAAAGTCATAGAATACAGACTTGGTTATTGTTTTGGTTGTTTTTGTTTTAATAGGGTTTGTGTTAAATTTTTCGGGGTGATGGCGGTGGAATGAGTGTTTATTCTGTACGTTTATTCTGTGACCTTTTTAATGTAACTTTGGTGTTACAATAGAGAGAACTTACTGAGGAGTGGAGTAGGGATGCTCATACAGGAAAAATGCCTCATAGCACACTCCATACAGTTTAACATTTTGTTTTTGTGTGTTTTTGCGTTTGTGCATGTGATTGTTTTTGTTATTCCTTTCGTATCGGAAATTGACCGACGAGCTAAAAATATACACCAAAGATAACAAGATTTTACTCACAAGTTCGTAAACTGCAATCCTTCTGTGATAACTGGTCCAAGTTCTTCAATAGCGTTTTTACTCAAAGTCCTGAAAAACGAAACAGGTATAACACAGGTTTCCATTAGGCAGCTTGTAAAATTGTTAAGGGGATGGTGGCATTTCTAAAGTGAAACTAACTTCACTTAAAAAGCCTTACCCGACTGCATACGGTACTGATTTTTCTGTTTTAAAATTCAATGATTGCCGACTTACAAATTATAAATATTCGTTGGTCCCGCAAGTGCTCCAGGCTGTACTTCCGAAATTTTGTTTTCTTTCAAGTTCCTGTGAATTGTAGTAAAGGACCGGGAAGGAAAATAGGCAGAATTTATCAAAGCGTCACATTTTCCTGAGCTTTTTACTGGCGATATCCCAAAGGTGTTACAATGATTTTAAGAAGTGTGACGTCAATTATCTCAGGATGTTGTAATCTTACTTTTAGAATGCCGAGATTAGTTATCTCAGACTGTCGAATTTTATCTTTTTACTTTGTCAACCTGAAGTAAGAAAAAGCAGGATGTTGTTGCGCACCCGCAAATCTCGATTGGTGAAATTCTAGCGCCCTTATGTTTTGCTTGTTTTCTTTACCTTGCATTCTCCAGGGTCTTTTTGGTGTACATGTACATGTATATACAGTACATGTTTGCGTGCTACGAAAAAAATGGTCGAACAGTTTGATAATGCATTGCAAATTGCTGCTCAAAATATCGGTCAGACTTGGTATTACCGGTCTCGTTTAACTTTTACACTGGAAGGTTTAATGGAAAAGTATTTCTTACATGTAATTAACCCCTTATTACAAATCATACACGTGGTCCATGCTGTCGGCAGAGTATGGGTCCGGAAACTTAGCTGCCATGATAATGTGCGCACTATCCATTCGCGTCGGACCGTCAATCGGCCGGCCAGCAGCGTCAAGTACACGTACATGTAGCCCTACCATACACGTGGCATCGGACACAACTTTCGACCACCGGTACCAGTGCCGCGTGCAAGGTTGTACCAGACTATTGTGCAACTTCATCGTGGCTGTTCAACGTGTATGCGCGTGCGTGAATAGAAAATGAGCGTATGCATTCGTACGTACGCATGCGCAGTGAGTTCCCCCAGCCATTTGCGAGTTAAATAAAATCTGGTAACAATTTGAATTCTACGGACTTAAACACTATTGCCATCTACCTCATGATTCGGGGCAAGTTTGCTTAGTTACATAAGAGACGCCTTGCACCAATACACTGTGTTTAATGGGTAAGAAGGGACAAAGGAACCAGTCCATTTCAATAATGGTGGTCGCTAAAGCTTGCCCCGAGTCACGATATATAGCAACAGCGTATTTAGCCTGGGGAATTCAAATTGTTACTTTCATGTGCAATCTGATAACGCAGTGTACCAGATTTTATTCAAATTTAATTCGCAAATGGCTTATTTCGGGAGGAGATTTGACCAATTTCCCAAGACGTTGTTGCTGGCGTGACTATAGGTTTGTACGTTTCAACTGCATGTACTCGTTTTGACCAAGACTAGACACCCAAACCCTTGTAACCCGCTCATCTTCGATAAATTATTGTTGACCCCGAATATCAGAATAGGAAGAGTAATAGAATTCCATGCTATCACAAGCTAGATATTTAGGAATCGCAAGTCGGATGGCACTCACGAAATCTGATCATAATGTTGTTATATATAGCACTCTCGGGATTTTTGCATTATCGTCATTTAGTCCTTTCCCAGACAGAATACGCTGCTCTCATCCAAAGAAATTTGCTTGACAGTACAGCTCACAAGTCTCTGAAGTTTTGATGTTTTTCTCGAGACTACAGTGCCGTTTCATACGGCCAACGTATTTTTGCCTATACTTACAGATTAATCAAGTTTTTGCACCTTTTGAAGGTGCCTGTCTCCAGGACTCTAATGCTGTTCTCTTCGAAATTACTGTGGATAGAATTTAAAGCCAACACGTGAAAATGTAAAAAGTACTTTGGTGCTGTTCTGACCATCCCAAAAGGTTAATATACTGCTCCATTAACCTTGCATGTATTTATTTTCAATTCCAAATGGAACAAATAGATTGACCTGGTAGCCAGGACTTGATAATCAACAATGAGGAATGTATACATTGGAAAATTGGCCAGTCTTATACAAAAAGTGGAGCAGGAAGCATTTCCTCGGGGAAGAGTGCCCTCGCAATAGGTAGGTAAAAGCACCGAGTATACAATGTTAATTACATGTAATATGCGTTTATGTATGAAAAACCCGTACTTGAAATTAAGTAGAAGTTGTTATCACGGTCCTAACGTCATGCACCGTTTACAATGAAGAAAAAGCAAACATTTGGTACTCCACACTCAATCGCACAAATAATCCACACAAAACCTCATTGTACTAATTTATAAAAGATAGCAAGAAGACACAAGTCAAATGAATAAATTGATAAACTTAAACAACAGCAGCAGAAGCAGCACCAACGACAACAAGGAGAAGCAGTAACAGCAGCGGTAGCAGTGGAAACGGCGACGGTGGTGTTGAAAATTGGACGAAGCCCTCGACTCCCAACGTCTGTAACCTTGATATCATGCACAGATACACCGACCATAGCCGCAGACGTGGCTCCGCGAATGCGACGCGAATGGGAAGTGAATCTGTCATCGTGAAGCCTAACAAAGTTAAGGGTACGACGAAGAACCGCGACAAACTGGGAACGCGTAACTGGACTCCCGTTGAAATGAGACAAAAATGGGCCATTGGGGATGTGGACCCAGCAAGGTAAGACAAAGTCGTCTGCACTGGACACATCACTGTGTTGCGATTGTGCGCTGCCTGGATGGACATGACATAACTGTGGCCATATTACTCCGTTTT